AATTATTATCACGGAAACCACACAGGAAGCTAAAATTTTACAGTAATGACCTCCTGCCCATACATGACCTTGCATATTCAAATTCAATGTTCTCGCGCTCACGGGTGTTATCTGCGGCCCAATGAAAGTTTCGGCCAGCAAATTATTATCTCGGGAACCATGGAATCTAGGAAGCTGAAATTTCTCAATAATGGTTCCCTGCCCGCGCGTGACCTTGCAAATTCAAATCCAGCCGTTCTCGCACACTCGGGCGTCATCTACGATCTCGTAACAATTTTGGCGGGGAAATTATTGTCTCGGGAACCCTAACGGCCAAAAAGCTGCAGTTTTGCGGTAGTTTGCCCTGCCAACACACGACCCCGCAAATTTAAATTCAGCCGTTCTGCTCGTCCAGGTATCACTTACGGCCCCATGAAAGTTTCAGCGGGTAAATTGCTATCTCGGTAGCCACGAAAGTTGGGAATCTGAAATTTTACGACGATGTGCCCTATCAACATACGACCCCCATAAATCTGGATCCAGCTTTCACGTGCCACGTACTGCCCCATGAAAGTTTTGGCAGGAAAACTGTCTTGTGGACTGCAGAGGCTGAAATTTTAGCATGGCAGCTCCTGTCCACGTGCAACTCCGCAAATTTTCAACGTCGCTTTGGAAGCTTTAGCGAGAAAAATCACCATTTCGGGAGCTAGAAGAAATAGGAGGCTGAAAATTTCAGAAGAATGTTTCCTGCCTGCCAGTGGCTTCACAAACTCGAACTCAATTCCTAAGTGTGCCAAGGTCTCACGTACGACCACGCAAAAGTTTTGTCTCAAAGATCATTCGAAAGCCAGAAAATTAGACTGAAGTTTTAGAAGAATGTTCAGCCATCGATGTTTCAAATTTAGCTTTCATGTGCCGATGCATGAAATTTTTAACTATTTTTCAACATTTCAATTATTTTGCACAGGTTAAAGTACAAAACAGTCAAAATCATTAACAGGGAATTGTTCGGTGGACGGAATTGCTCAAAACGCAGATCGCACCGACTAGTCTGGTGCGAGTTGCTATTTATTGCATTTGCATACATGTAATAACGCACAATTACCTGTTCAATGAGTAACTTTCTCGCC